TAAGGTTAACCTTAAATCCACCATCCGCGCTTCCGTTCAGCGCCTGTCCCCATTTTACGTCTATTCTCATCGTCTGCGCAAACTCGCTAACGCCGGCGCAAAAGCATACGATGAAGAAATTAATCGCTAGCGAAATCCGGACGGGAGCGAAAAAAATCTACATGGCGACATACATGTACTCGGCCCAATCGAAGCGCGTCCCTACTTCCATGGCGTGCGGCATCCATCAATTTGCGCGAGAGCTTCGGATCGTATGTCCCATATTTGGTGATCTGCTTTGCGTGCAGGAACATGCTTCACACTCGATGTGCGTCCTTGACCGTGCTCTCTTAACCTTGCGGAACTCGGGGCATCTATTACATGCTATAATTAGACCAATCTCTTGCTACGCAGCACTGTGCAACAACCTGTGGCTTCACACGCCATCCGGGGGATTCCACGGGGTTTGCCGGCTCGGTCACCGCAAAAACCCCTCGACTACGCGACTGGCTCTCTACGACAGCACGCATGACCAACAGGGTCGTATTGTGCGAACGAGAAGCCACGGAGCGCTATGCATGGCCATTCGATGAAAGCAAGGTCAGGATGCAAGCTGCTCGTCTGGCTGACTGACCGATCGACCGACTAACTGAGTTCCGAGTTTTCCGTCGGGGTAATCCTCGGTGTCGAAGCAAGAGAGGATTATTCGACTGCATCGGACTCGGCCGCTTTAGAGTGTCCGAAGTCCGAAAATAGCCTACAGTGGCGTCTTTCGACATCTGCGGAGACAACGCTCGCCACCTCGCTCGACTGCCATCATGGCCTCTGACGTTAACTCGCGCCGCCTCGCGATTTCTTCCGGCTCCCGTCAGCCTCATTATTCGTCTCAACAAGGTCACTGTAATATTCAACGTTCCGGAAGCTTCGAGTCTCCGAGCTAGAACTCGAGCTCCCTGGCGTCGAATGCTCCTACCCCCTCACCCCCTTTTCCGGAGACGAGTCAAATACCGATTTATAGAATACTTTCTCCGAGCTCTCCAGATCCCAGACCCGAATAGTAGAAATTCTAACCGTTCCGGAGTTCCTCGATTATCGGACGTTCGAAGCGGAATCGAACCGTGCCGAAAACGCTCCCTGTTGTGCCGAAGGCCAACAGCTCAGCTGTTGATATTATATCGCCAATAATGAGGTTCCTACACTGGGTCCAGAGTCCAGACTGTACACATGTACGAACAGCGATGAGTATCAATCCGATCGAGAGTGCCCGCCGTCGGCCAAGCGGAAAACCTAGGCCCCGCTGTATATCGTACGCGCCTTCCCCACGCTCCAAGCGGACCGCTTGCCCCGAATGACAAACGGCTTCTCCGTCAATTTTTCGCTCGAGGTATCGGAGCGCCTACCGACCGAAAAGAGTTTGTCCAGTAGTCGAAACGCGATACGTACCCGGGAAAGAGGAAGCGCTCTTGACGTAGCCGGTCAGTAAGCTACTCGGTCAGCGTGTGTTTCCTTGACACCGCTCTCTCGACAGACAGTTTGAACAGCTTCGAATACTATTCTGGACCCTCCGGATGGACAAGTTGCCACTAGTGAAACAAAGCTGTGCTCCACTGACGGCGGCGGCATCATGATAGAATGTGCTCATAGACCCGTAGCGGCTGCTGGATGGGAGCCACTCCTATGAGCCGTGACAACTGCGGACTCGGGGTCAGTGGGATGATGACGACGACGACGACGATTACAACAACAACAGCGATGATGATCATCTACCTGCATTAAATGAGCCCGGTGCACGTAGATGACGCATCGATAGACTTGACCGCGTCCAACTGCCCCTTCGGAACCCTTCGCGAGAAAAAAACGCTAGCCCTGGTCGCGGTCGCATTCCGGTTTCATCAAGATTCAAGACATGAATTCCATTCGGAGGAGCTCGGGCTCTTATATTCGGTCGATTAGAAGGGTCAGATCCGAGTGATGGAAAATCGCTAGTCCAGGTCCGATCCTACCATCGAATCCGTGCCATTCTAGTCCGAGAACTTGGAGAATAACACATCAGAAAAATCAGCATGTATCCCGATTTGCGAGCAGAACAATGGCTCTATTGAGAAAAAACTCGAAAACAAGAATACGCCGACGGGGAACTCTCGCGCTCATCGGAGGGGTCGACGTTCGAATAGGGCAGAAGTCGAGTTGCCTCCGGCTCAGTTCCGCCTCCCACGCAACTCGATCTCCATCCCCTGACGTCAGAACCCTGACCTCCGTGTGAGACTCTGCTCGCGCACGTCATAGGGACGTACAGCTCATCGAGTCGCGCTTGTTCCTCCCGGTTCTGAAAAGAAGTCCCTCTCGAAGGAACCCGGGACCATGGAACGATGGCATTAAATTGTTGGTCGCCTTCGAGGCATTCCATCAAATGAATACGATGTCGTTTCCTGCGGGGGAACTCGGGGAAAAGAGCAAATTGTAAGCTCTCGAGTGATAAGCTAGAAAGAAACGAACAATGAGCGATCCGACCGGCTGAGAGTCGCTGATGAACGAAGGGGGAAGGATGGTCAGACCTAGATAGAGATCGGACCCCACGGGAAATCATGGGCAAGGGGCGTTCCCAGAACACTGAATGCCACCCGATCTTCCGGGAGGGGCTCATTCAAGCGACGAGTTTTCCCTAGCTCTAGAGACGTTGTGCGTCGCTGATATGAGTCCGATGGACGAAACGCCGATAATAATGAGGAGAAAGATAGGAATCGCCGCGGCGTCCCCTAATTGAGAGCTTCCGGATGGGGGTCGCGGATCGCGGGACTCGCGAACGAGTGCTCACTAGAAAATAATTCAGTTCGGAACGCTCAAGAATCAGGAGGACCGGATAGCCATCGATCGACCAACAGGTGGCTCCCAATTAATTCGGGCTGCGAAACCACCGTGAGCTATCGATACGCGTGGGTGAACATCGAGGCAATAACGAATCAATAAAGCGCCTAGAATTTCGAATTTCCGCCCTTTCTAATCGGAGAGAGAATAGCAGGACCTATCGTGCCAATATGAGGGTTGAGAGTGCGAGTGCCATGGTACACGAGTTCAGACTGCCGGGACGGGCAAAACACGCTGGGCTTCACTCGACTCTCGAGTGCATTTTGGAGGCACTGAAGCAGCGGGGCGGAGGCACGAGGATCACGAGGATCCTCTGAGAGAACCTTTGGGGAATTGGCAGAGATTCTCTGGGAGCGGGGCTTTGGTCTCGTTCAGAGTCCCCCCGAGCTGGCTGTGTCGTGGGCGCGGACTCTCCGCGTTCATCAAAATCTGATGCATTCATTTGCAAACAGACTCCTCCTCGAATCAGTGAAAGAGATTGCATAAGACCCTTCTCGAGTCATCATCGAGCTCATGCGGGTCTGTGCCGACCGCGTGTTTCATCCATGCGGAGAGCGACTCTCGCTGTACGGGAAAGTAATCCGTTTTCCATAGATTCTCTTTCGATTCTGCTGTAACCGTGGAGGCAGGCGCTTCCTCCTTTATTTTCCCTCGGGTTTCTCCACGTACTGATCGTTCATCCATCCTCGCTCATTCGTTCATGTGCTCACTCGCTCGCTCATTCGGTCGCTCACTCGTTCGGACGACTTCCACGTCAGCGCCGCGTGGCACACTTGAAGCCTCTACTGGAGCGCCATTGCGAACTGACGAGCGGGCATGCCCGGCGGGCTGTTGTTGTCGCCGTCGTCTACCTACTCTACGAATCTCTTGCCGTGCTCGTTGTGCTCCCATTGGCTTCACGGCTGTAGACGGTGGTCGCGGTGGTGTTATCTACCTGGAACTTCGCTGCGCGCGAGGTACCCCGGCCCGTCCGACCGACCGACACCGTATCCGTCCCTCCGTTGTTCGACTGCCGGCGTTGCCAACAGCGGCAGCAACAACAAGAACAACAAGAGCAAGAACGACGTAACGGCAGAAACGTTATTAGCCGCTTTTGCTCCCATCGATTCAATTGTTGCTTGGGAATCGATCGCTCCCCGAGAAGCGCGAGCGGATCGGCGACCGAGACATCAGAGGTGGCGATAAGCGCACCAGGTAGCAGCGATTCGTTGGAGCGGGAAAATCGAATCGGCTAAAATGATGTGCGGAGACGACTACGAGCTCATTCTGCCCATAGAGACTGTAAGTTGGAAACTTCTCTATCCATCGCCTGCATCCGAAAACTTCCAGCGAGTCACCGGCTGGATCGGTCGCAGACCGTATGGCTCCATCGCGCTGGGTCGAGTTCGCCATAGCGCGCTGGGAGCAGCCGGCGGCACGAGCAGAGGCAACCTGGACACGCGGATTGCCATGTTACCATCGAGTTGAGCCAGCTACCTCTTGCTGCCGCTGTTACGGCCGTAAACACCACCTGTGTCCGTAGCGCGCATGTCGTTCGCTGTCACCGCCGCCATCCACGACGGTGCTGGTTCTGCGGTTGCCATTTTCGATGATGGTGACTGTGGTCGACGACGAGACCGTCAGAAACCAGCCAGATGAGCAGCCAGCATGAAATTTCAGAGCTGTAGAGGAGGGCAGGTATTTGCTAAGGCAATTTATATGGCGTTCAGCGGACGGCGCCGTTGACAAGTCACGGGACGGCACGGGAAAAACTTGTGAATAGACCGTCACACTGTTTTTCAAGAATCGATCCCGCTCTTTCGATTCTCGCTTCAAAGTCGGTAGTCGGCAGGGAGAGTTTCTGATGAGAAGCTCTTTCCGGTTTGGGCAAAGAAAAACGCCATCTCCGCCGAGGAGTTTTCGAGTTAATACAGATTGGGTCGGTCGGTGACCTCAGAACTAGGTAACCGGACTCGCCTTAGCGCTGGATCATTCTTTCCTGACGGTTGAAGATCCACAAGGGCCTACAACATCCGCATCGCTATCTCTGGGAGATTGTAGTTCTATTCATAGTTTTCTCGAACGGGATGGAACAGAAGACCTTGAGAAGTCACCGTTTTCTTTTCTTCTCACAGAGTGACATGCCCGCCGAAGAATGGCTCCTCGATGCCAATCCCATCTTGTTTGAGGATCGAATGATGTCTGATACAGTCACCGGCGAACACTCATATTCAAGCGCTCAGCAACAAGTTCACATGGTGCTACCGGATATAAAAATGGAAGAAGGTCAGACTCAAATTCTCTGATTCATGAAGAGAGTGTGATAGTCAAAATGAAATTATACGAAATATCCCTCGTCCGTTCAACCCTCCCTCGGGAAGAGGCTGATCATCTGACTAAATTATCGAATCTTGCAGAAGACATGGATTCCGAAATCTTCTCAGCGGTACCAGTTTCAACTGCTACAGGACAGCAGGACATTGTACAAATCAAAGAGGAGGTCACCTCTCCGCCACAGTCACCAATCGTATCGCCAGTCGGTAAGAGTCACGATTCCGAACTCGTAGCTCGGTATTCTCTCGTCGCAGAAAAAAATAACGAAAAGGTGCATTCCCATGAGACGGAAGTGCGCTTGGTCATGCAGTTTCCTCCTGTGTCATTCACGACATGCGATATTCCAGGCCGCATAATGAGCGCATCCTCCGTGAAACGCAAATGCCGATCGAGCTCCGCATCCTCAATCGCGACGGGCACAGCACCGGGGTCCTCTTTGCTGCGGGTTCCGCAGCCTGCCCTGAGCAGCACAGCCTTGACGATTGAGCCCGTCAGGGTCAAGGTGGAACCAGGTAAGACCTGCGATTTGTCTTGGCTTGATTCGATCGGTCAGAATAACTGATCAATTTCTGCTCGTTTTCCGCTCGGAATTTTGGCCGATTCACGAATATTTTTGGAGCCCTCGAGTTTACCGTTCGAGCATCGGGCGTTCCATCGCCCCCGTCTGCCAATGCCTTCAGGAGACATTTTCTAAGAATATCCTGGATTCCGCCGCCCGGTACTATCGTAGGCGAACTGGGACCGAAAGAAGCTCTGACAGAGACGTATGGTCGAACGAGCATGTGGACGAGGAAATACGTGCCGGAACTAAACACGCGGAATATAAGGATAAAGGAGCGGCGATAGCTCCCACTTCCGCATCGGCCTGTACGCTGGAGCGCCGAGCACAATTTACTGAGCTAGTCACGATTGTAACAGTTCGGCTTCGGTCAGCTCCGAAAAAGCCTTTCCTCCACCGCGTCGCTGTATGCCGACGCTTTCCTCGTCGGAAGTCGGGAGGCTCCCGATCTCCCTTCCTCGTTCAGTTTCTATGGAGCCGGGCGGCTGTTCGTTGTACGATTTTATTCAGTCGGATCGCTCGCTTTTCAGGTCTCAACTGTTTACCGCTATCGCCACCTTCCTCGGTTTCGAATGACTCTGAGAGCGATGGATCAATATCGCCGATTCACCCCTCTCAGATGAGCTGTCCCGTTCCTACGTCGGCTCCTACCTCTTCAGCCAAGTGCAGAATGATATCGGCGCCTTCCGCTCAACTCACATCACAACTCATCTCACGGTCAGCGTCCTCCGCAACATATTGGAAAGCTATTTTCTAATTTCTCTCTCAAGCAGTGCCCGTTCGGTGTTCAAGATGACGCCGGGCGTGTGGGCCGCGTTGATCTCCTCGCTAGTCTCGCGTTCGACTCCTAATCGTATATTGTTCCCTGCAGCCAAAGCAATTCGCGTTCGGGAGTCCTCTCTCTAACGGACGAAGAGAAACGGACTCTAATTGCTGAGGGCTATCCCGTTCCCACGAAACTCCCTCTGTCGAAAGCTGAGGAACGGTCACTCAAGAAAATTCGGAGAAAGATCAAGAATAAAATCTCAGCACAAGAAAGTCGTCGCAAGAAGAAGGAGTACATGGACGCTCTAGAGAAGAAAGTGGAGAATCTCACAGCTGACAATCGAGAGTTGAAAATTCGATATGATCGGCTTCTACAGAAGAACGTCGCTCTCGTCGAACAGTTGCGGCTGGTACAGTCCAGCCTCGACGGCGGAGTACCTGTTGAGGAAAACGTCGATGAAATTATAAATATCACCGACGTAGTAGAAGGTGAGGTTCGGCAAATGGACTGTAACCGCGTCATCAGAGATTCGAGTGGGGTCGAGGGGATACGGAAATTTTTCCGAGATGATAATAACCGCCCCGATGTCAATGTCAATGCGCTAGCGTTTCTCCTTGAAGGTGGTCCTCATTCAAACGTTGCGAATAATGCTTGTCATAACGCCCGTTGATCTTCACAGATGTTTCTGCCTGAATCCCGGGCAAACTGGTTGTGCTCTACTCCTCTGTTAACGCTCACCGCATCCATGCTGCAAGAAACTTCTGAGAGAACGTCCGGTACATCAAAGTGTTCCGAGAGTCGAAGCTTTGTTTGTGATTGTTGAACGAGAGAATCAGAATCGAAGATAGATAAGAAAATCTGAAGCGATACTTCAGTTTCTCCACCGAATGTTTTTCGGATCGTCGAGCCATTGCTGAAGACTTCCGAGTCCCGATGCCCTGACGCTGGCAGTGACTCCCTGGACGACGGAATTGCTCCCGGAGTCTAGTATGTCGGAACTCGCGCGGGCGGAAGCATGAAAAGTTTAGCAACAGCCGAAAACACGGCAGTTTTTGCGGGAAAGTAGGCGAAAATACGCTGCTTCACGCTCCTGGGTCGACGTCCGTTTTCGTTGATCTCCTCGCGACCCGGTGGTAGTCGCAATGCTCCCGCTCGAGTTTTACGCACGACCCCATCCACGTCGTCCTGACAAACGCCCACCGAAAAATATAAACCGTGAGAAAGTTAAGGCTCAAATAGTTCGAGGGATACTGAAGGAAATAGCCGAATTTCATAACTCCAAGCAATAACCTAGTAAAACACTACCAGACGGTAGTTATGAGAAGGTGATTCTCGGGCGGTCGAGCACGCAAACGTAGTTCAAGAGTCCACGGTGCTAGTCGAAAATTTTCATAGAAAGAATGGAGAGCGAACTTGAGAAGTTGAACTTGTGCAATCGTCTGAAACAGTCCATCTAGGTAAACGTGAGAAGCCGATTATATCCCGTTTAGGTAAACGGGAATCGCGCAGATGAGGGAATGCTCTCCTGCTGGAGAGGGATATTTTCGATGCGAGCTGTTCGCATCAGTGACGTCCTGCTGGACGATTGAGACACGACGGTGTCTCCGGTACCGAGCATCCGGACCACGAGGATAAGTCTATTCCTCTAATTTAATGGATCTAATCAAACGAACCAACTAATCAAAAAATAATAATCAATCGACGAAGGTGTCGATAGATCGTTCCAAGTCGAAAATGGAGTATTTTTCTAGCGGAGATTCAGGGCCGGATTTTAACGTAGGGAACAGCAACACTAATCGCATTATTCCGACCTGATCAATCCGAAACTTCATGCCGCATCGGTCATACTACACGCTGGGACATGGGTGTAGGCTTGCGGGCAGACAGACGAGCGACTGATTGGGCCATGCCGACTGGGGGTTCCGTGGAACGATCGTTTGTAGATTGTGGCTTCCTGGAGGAACCTTCGATTCGAGCCCTTATCGGCGGTTTTCGCTCCGCTCTCTGAGCTTGGCTCACTGACCTCGGACTGGTTCACGGATCGCGGCACAACTTCGCGCTCCCCTACGGATCGTGTCTACTCCGTGGTTCTTTGACCTGCCTGAGAGTGGCGACAGCCGTCCCAATCGTCCACGTTCAGTCTGTTCTACATGAATCGCGCACGGAGTTCCTCCAAATAATGCGGTTGCATGCCCAAATCGCGGATCGAAGTTTGTTTGCGTCGACCGCAGGTTGTGAATCAGAATTCTGCGATCAATTTTTTGACTGAGTTCAATGAATTCAGATTACACACGGGTTTGAAGAAACCTTCGACGGGACCGCGCGCAAAACGATGCATGGGTGCAACGAGCACCTAAGCGGGAAGTAGTCATGAGGAAATACAAGGGTTCGGAATGGTGCACCTAACAGCGGGCATGGTAAGGTCCGAAGCTCTCAATGATTACGGTCAATCCGTTTGGTATTGGGTTTAGTTCTAATTTCTAGCCTTGCTCAGAAGATCATCGATCGTATCAGAATTGTCGCTCGGTTTGTCTACGCACGCGTATGATACTTTCATCAGTCGGAGACTCGGGGCCTCATTGAGGCTGAGTCTCCGCTCGCTACGGTAATCTGGAAAACAATCTTGATCGGAATGTTATTGATGGCTGTCGTTCTTTTGTGTTGATCAATCAAAGACCAAAAACGAGTTTGTCGAGAGGCGGAAAATACGGAGTACTTTGTAAATGATGTAAAAAACTACGGCGTCAAAAAATGAAAACCCGAAACAACTACCGAGAGAAAAAACTACACAGCTGCGAAGAATTCGAACCAAAAAATAAACGAAAGAGAAGGGCGTGGCGTAAGGAAGAAACGAAACATGTCAAAGCATGAAATAAAACATCAACTGGATTGAGCTCATTCACTGCACTTCTTTCATTCTTCATGAAGCGAATTCTGACACGATTTCGTTCTTGCCTACCGGGGAAACTCCAACCTCATCGATCATGGGTCGGAGAGCATATAGATTTTTTATGGGAATCACAGTTTGTCGCACATTTTTTCCTTGAACATTTCCTTGAGACGGATCTCATTGTCATTTTCGAACGCGATCGAGAGGAATTAAAAACGGGGAAGCGACTGAGACTATCATTTCAAATGCGGTGGCGGTGCGCCTCTGAAAAAGTCGAGATCCCCCAAAGACTCCGGTAAACACGTCCCGTACTCCCCTTGAGCATAACCCAGCTCCTTCATGAGTTTGGTGGGGGCATTTCTGAAATGTTTTAGGTGATCAGTGCTTGCCGGCGAAACACAGACGCGGGACAGCGGTTCAAGGAGCGCGAGATCGGCATCCGGCAGTCCAGATTTCCCCGAATTTTCTAACCTTATGGCTAAGGGAACCGGCGGGTGAGGACCTTCGAAATCTCGGATAAACATCTCTGCTCGGCCGTAGGCATTGTAGGTTTCTCGAGATTTCGGTGAGCGGGCGAATTGCACCGTGCAATGGGACAGCATTATCTAATCGAATCCAGGACGCATGTTAGGAATTTTTCTCTAATGTTATAAAGCGATTCCAGAACATGAACATCGCCCTAAGATGAGCCCGTGCGAAAGACAGGCATGGCTCGAAAGACTATCCACTCGACTCGCTTACCCTGCACTCCGGCATGCCGATCTTCTCGCACGCTTGATGTGTCGCCATAGCTAAGCTCAGCATTGACGGATCGGCCAATCCTATGTCTTCTGATGCGAATACCTTGCAGAGGATGAAACTTCTGTGAGTCCTCTTATCGACACAGGATTCCCGTGGCGTAGCTCTCGGAGCGGGAACATCCGTGAAGATTCGTCACATAGAGCTGAGGGTCACCTTCTACTCACAATGAGTCTTCTCGCGATGAAACGCGGATCTTCGCCTCCACTGAGCATCCTCGCGAGGTAGTACAACGCTGCAGTATCTTTACCGAAGCGCATAGATTTATGGAACGCCGATATCGTGTCATAATGTTGGTCACCTAGAATACTCGAAATATTAGGCGCTGCTGTCCCGTCTGACGTCGGCATGGCTCGGATGGAGCTCCATCGACCGCCCCGGAGACCCATCAGGAGAAAAAAGGATGATATGATGAGGAGACCGTAGAATTGTTTCTCAGCTTTACTCTCACCTTTACGATCGTAGAGGAAATGTGTTTTTTTGAGACTGTCTCTTATGTCGTCTTTCGTGATCACATGTTTTTCGAGCTGTTTGAAGCCTTCGACGGCCGTTTGGAGGGAGTTCAAGGCTGTGCGAGAATCCCCATCGGAGATCCCCACCAAGAAGCTCAGAGCAGAGTCGGTTATCGCGAGTCCTGTGGAAAAACTTGTCAGTACGATTCTCGGAAATTTCTACCACAGGTTGCGAATAGAGGAACATCTGATGCTTCGTCTCATGTATCCTTCACTTCGCTCGCCTCCCTTGCTCCTCACCGGTAGCTTGTTCCGGCGAATCGTCCGGAAGTATCTGGACTTCCAGGCTGGATGCTGCTCGTGAGAGGATCGTGCGTATATTCTCTGATGACAGTTTTTCCAGCACGATGACTTTACCTGCAGATTCAAGCGGTCATTATCAGCCGCATCCGTTATAAATGGGTATTGGGCCTGCTCAACTGTAGAAATGGAGATCGTCCCGCACAGAATCCGTGCCGGGAACCAATAGCGAAAAGTCTGATGTCCAATAGTTGAATGTCAGCCGCTCCACAGAGGATGCTCAATCGTGGCTGATGTCGCGGGAGGAATCCTGAGTCTCGAATGGAATTCAGTTATACCCAGCCTGAGGCGTACATCTCGAAAGAAGAGCAGAATTCAGGGAGAATGACGGATTCTCAGTCGTGGCTCCGATCAACGTGATGGTGCCCTTCTCGATATGTGGCAGGAATACGTCCTGCGGAAGTCGAGCGAAGCATGTGAAGCCCAGTGAATAGCGAGTCTGATGTCCGTTGATATGTACCGCTCGCGAGGGATCGAAGAAACCGAACCCACCTGTTGAGCCTTGTTGAATCTGTGGATCTCATCTAAAAACAAGATTGTCTTGATCTTGAACATTTTTTGGTCTGTTTGCGCTCTCGAAACTACGTCCTTTACGTCTTTGGTGTTCGCTGCTACGGCTGACAATGTCACAAAACGATGTCCCGTTGCTTGAGTCTTCTTCGCGATAATGTGAGCCAGTGTCGTCTGTCAGCCATTCCGGGAAACAATCGAGACGATCGCTTATAATCATCGATTGATTATTGATTATTATCTTATTATAAGCATCACGTTTGATCATGATCAGGGTTCGACTTCCGTCGCGGTCCGTGACCGCAGTTTTTCGTTGCATTGCGGGGCGTTTCCCCATAGAAAGTCGATGGGAGCCTGAAAATGCCGCGAATTTCCGGCTAAAGAGCCGCTATGAAAGTCGAGCCCTTATCATGATCATCGATGGAGCCGAGAGGACAGACAGTCTCATGCATGGGAAGAATTTGACCCCGAAAAATTCACCTTTCCACAGCCCGGTGGTCCCCACAGAATCAGTGAAGGCACGTTCGGTCCGTCTAAGAGTCGTCTGAGGAGTGTCTTCTCGCCGACAGCTTCTTCTTGACCAACGTATTCCTGCAGCGTATTCGGTCGCATTGCTTCAGCAAGGGGTTTGAAGGGTTCGTCTTTTTTCACCGTTTTGGGCACAACCTTGCCGTCCACTAGCATTGTTGAGAAAACTGCAGAAAAAATATAAAATCTCACTCAGTGCTCCCGTCAAGACCTAATGAATTCAGTTTATCCGCCCGCTCCCCGGGGAGTCAGTGGAGCAGAGAGCCGCTCAACACTCACCCGGGAACGCAGAGTCGCTGACATCGAAGTCTGGTGAGCCCTCTTCAACAACCGCGATGTCTTGATCGTCCGAAGACTCACTCTTCTTGGTCGCAGAAGAGGTGGACGGTTCGGAGCTCGAAGAGGTCGACTCGGCCGGATTCGGCGCGTTTTTTTGGGATCGAGGTTGAAAGAAAGGGTGGGCGGCCTGCAGGAAGACTCAGCTTCAAAAAGAAGTCACACGCTTGCGTAGTTCAGGCTCAGACTTTCGAAAGTCGATGTTTTGTGTGAAAACAGTCGGTACGTCCTGAAGCGAATCGGTGCAGCGTATCTTCTCTTCGGAGGCACCCTCGCGATGTTTTTTTTCTCGGACTGGTCCGTTTTCGCCGCAGGTTTGCCTCATCAGAAGGTTCCGATGCGAGAAAGACGAGTCGCTCGGTCAGTCCGAAAGAGAAGCGTACTGAGGGTAGTGTTCGGATAAGCCTCGGTCGAGTGCGGTTTTCGAGGATTCGAAACCTAACAAAGACAACACTCGGTGCACGAGCGAACTCCAAACACCCTGATGAACATACTACGGCACCCTCCGTCGAAACGGGGGGTACGGGCTCAGGATTCGTGAAAGCATATCGATTGTTGATCTTCGATCATCGACCTCTTGAGGAGCCTCTGTCCCGCCTCGATCATCTTTTCGAAGATTCAAGCGTGACCTGCGCGAATTATCGACTGATCATCACGAAATGAACGCAGGAGAGGATTCGAGACGAGAAAACTTCGAGATATCCGGTGCTGTAGGTATTTTGTTGAGGAGACCACTTGGAGAAGTCGAATACTGCATTAATGAGTGAGCGACGCTGGAAGACGATGCTACATATGTATGAAGATATTGTGGAGAAATTCTGAACGCACCTGGGTGGCTGACGCGATTCTAGGTTTCTTGGACGGCGGTGACGGACTGAAATCGCCATGTCTCGCGCAACGATCTAAGTGCTGGTTAATGAGTTCTTCTACGATCGGCTTTCCACAAGAGGGGCAATCGACAGACTTGAGCTTCGAAGACATATCGTACTTCGGTTCCTTGAAAGGGATGATCATCAATCAATTTCCGATCGAGCGAGATGCTGTAGAGCCGACAGAACAAAGGAGACACAGTGCAAATCACCTTCTACCTAGAGCTCGCACGGAGTATTCTGTGCAGTGGCAGAGATTCGATCATTGATTTCACTCCCATTTGTTGATTCGTCATTTCAGAAGCAAATGATGATCGCATGTTTTTTCAACAGCAAGAGGCTGGGGCCTCCCACAAACCTCCTATCCCTATAGCTCCGCACCAATACGCCAAATCTTACGATTTCAACGGCCCGAGAATCCACCTGAAGCTGCGCCGCGCCGACACTTCGAAGAAATTCAATCCTGAAACACAGCTGTTCCTCGAACGGCGCGTGCTTTTGAATTTGGCGCGTCGTGCCGTTTCCCGCATGTCGCCGTGGTGGCTGCTGCCCCTCGATCGCTCTCGCTCTCGTCCTCACTAGATGACAACATTGGGCACTCGGCAGCAGCAGAGGGGCCCTCTCCACGGTGGCAGGGTGAGAGGACGGGCTCCTCTCAGCATCGAACGAACACACACAGAAACTCAGCGTTGAAACGCGTCTGGTTCGGAGAGACGTCAACTACGAGCGACGCGATTCGGACGAAGCTTAGTGGAAGCGAAAAGCGGACTGTCGTCCAACAGCGAAAAATTTCGGATAAAAGGTTCGTGTCCGAGAAGCTATTCCGTTGTGAACTCGTGATGACCTTGATCCACGCGCGGCTCGCATCCTAAGCGTGACGTTCGATTGTCGAGCGCGGCTCCGGCGAATTCAGAGATGTCACAAACTAATAAGTCGGAAAAATCAAGGAGCATCGTCTAGAATTGAAATTCATCGAGTCACGAGACGGGACAATTCGGGTATTCGAATCCAAGTCAAACATGTGACCCGCTCACGACTTTATTAACGAAAAGTCTGGAGATGTCTACGACCGATGCTCAGAGGAGTAGCCGCTCTCGATCGTGTCCCTCAAGATTGAAACTCAAGAACTCGTGCTCGTCGGGGCTCGCGCCGATTTGATTTGATTCGCTAGAGAGCGCGTTGCGCGCGGTCAGCCAGTCTTTCCGTGCGGAGATGTTCCGCGGAGGAACATGAAGCGCGAGCCGGTGCCCGCAGCTTGCAACGCTTCGAAGTTAGTTCCGAAGAGTTGAGCTCCTTATGAAGCAGTCGCGTAATTCAGGCCTCGGAGGACCCAATCGGGCGGACACCCGGCGATTCGGGCGAGTCGGGCAAATCGAACTTCCCCGCGAGCTACCCGCGCAGCTCGATATAGGGCGTAAAATGTTGCCGAGCGAAATTCCGGCGCGGGAATTTCCATTCACCTCTGCCATCCTTGTACGCTGGTGAGCCTCATATCTGTTTCCCCTGTGCTCTCATTCAGTCCCGTGCGGATCATCGACGAACCTCAGTACCGAATTGGCGTAGAGCTTCCATGCGGAGCGGTTCTTCCGGCCACCGCCATGCAATTCCGGTCCGCATCCCTTGGGCAGACTTACTTTGATCCGCATCCAATACAAATTAACTATTGGATGCCCAGAACCTCGAGCTCCAAAATGATCCACATATTTGATATTTAGTTACACTACCGCGAGAGCTATCGATTTAAGTAGTATCGCTTTTATGCTACGCATCGCTAGTAAGCATGATGATACTGTGCCACTGATGTCGCATTGATCGCATATCTTGAAGTCGAGCTGCGCGTGCTGGATGGTCCTTGAGCCTTATGACGATGTTCGTTGACAAGATACTCTAGATTAGCACCGAGAGATCTCACAGAGGGCGTGTTTCATTGATGAGCATCGTACTTCTTTTTCAAGAGACTGAAGGGATTCACTCAAGATCCCTCCGATGTTGAATAGAGGTGCCCGCGTATGAGCAATCGGTCTGTGGTACGATCGCTCCGTACACAGGTGGTCTATCCGACCTTGTTCCACGGATATTTGTCCCTCCTCCGAGCGAATAGCACAGGTCCATCCCGCAGATTCCGTATTCCGATTCGGCAAATTATCCACCCAGCCTCATGATTGAACCGTCTTTTTGAGACGAAAGTAGCGCGGTTGAGCGGAAATGTCTCCATTGCTCGTAATTCACACGGGGAACGTGAATTCGTTCTCGAATGCGATCTTAAGTCAAACTCTCAAAGAGTCACTGAAGGTCGCTCAAGTAGCCCTTACCGACGCCTTGACACTGGATGTATTCACCGGTCGCTCTCAGTCAGAACAACTCCAAGGATTGCATCGATTCGTCATTCTGGCTTCTGAGCCCCCGATTCTTGCTCACGCAATTCAATGATCCGTAGATAACTTTCGACATGCAGGAATATTCATGTCCCAACAAAATACACCCAGGAAGTTCGAGAAATGTTCGATAATCTTCCAGTGAGTCCCCGAGCTAATTCATCCTAATCGTCAGCCAGAGAAAGGCTTGGGAATGCCGCCCCGAATCACCACGAATCCCCCGCATCATCAACGGAAGACAGGCAAATATGGACCACTCATAGCTGCGATCGATCAAGGCACATCCAGCTCTAGGGTGCTGGTGAGTATTACTACTACTGATACAAAGGGATAATTCGTTGGGAGGAAAATCTTGTCCCGGAACGCTTTAATGGGACATCGATCGATTCCGCGTAAGCTCTTTCGCGTTCCCTCGACCAGGATTCCTCATGGGTCCGGGCCGGAACAGTGCTAGTCTGAAAGAATCATGATTCGTTTAATTATCTGGAACGTTGGATGAGAGGACGCAACGACTGACTCCGGAAAGAGTTTTGTCGTCAAGAACCAAGAATCCCCCATTGACGCTCATTCCGTAAGGGTGTCCTGAATAGTTCTCCTTCGAGCTACCCCGAGATCATGGAGACTTATGCGCATTTCGATTTCCAGATATTCTCATCCGAAACTTTCGAATTGATCACCTATCACCAGATCGAAGTCAAACAGATCTACCCGAACGAAGGGCGAGTTGATATCTCATGAGATATTTCTCACAGTATCAGACGATGTGCAGCTCTGAGTAATTTTCCGCGAGATTCCACGTCGCGTGCTCTCCTAAACTCGCTTACTCTACAGATGGGTCGAAGAGGATCCTACGCATCTACTCGAGACTGTCCAGCATTGCCTGGGTCAAGTCTGGGAGAAATTAAAAACCATGCACATTGACCCGAATGATGTTGTTGCGATTGGCCTCACAAATCAACGCGAGTCCACCATAGTATGGGATAAGAACACCGGAGTCCCATACCACAACGCCATTCGTAAGTGTCGGGTTTTTCCAGGAAGACGTGGGCTCAGGTGCTATCGGCTGGAGATCTTCCTGCGGTGGACATTGATCCCGTCGTTCACTGGCAGAGCGGTGTTTTTCAGTCACAGATACTCTCACAGTATATACGCTCGTATCGACTCACTACAAAGGATTCGTCCTTGGAATCGCCTACTTGTCAAAGGGTTCGATAATTGACGGGACACGAGCAGAAAGGGGGGAGATGCCGTCACGATCAATTCTCAGCCGCGGTGACGCAACGCTGGATCTCGCGTGGACGGCCGTTCAGAATCCGTTGGGGATCGATCTTGATTCAATGAACCTTTTCCTTTTGTGTTTCAGTTTGGTGCGACAACCGGACGGTACAGACAGTGGAGAAGCTTTTGAGCAAAGTACCTCAACACGATGTCGACTACCTACGGCCGAAGTGTGGGCTGCCACTGTCGACGTATTTTTCGGCGGTCAAGCTGGTTTGGCTATTCGAGAACGTGCCTGGCGTTCGAGAAGCCGCTGAGAGAGGCGATCTGCTTTTCGGAACCGTGGATTCTTGGCTGCTATGGAACTTGACAGGAGGAGCTCATGTGACGGACGTAACGAACGCTGCTCGGACCATGTTGATGGACATCGAGACCACCAAATGGGACAAATACTTATTGAAGTTTTTCGGAATCCCAAAATCTATACTGCCCAGCATCAAGAGTAGCAGCGAGATATATGGTTACGTAAAGGAGCCGCTGCCATTCCAAGGCATACCCATCTCGGGATGTCTCGGTGATCAGAGCGCCGCGCTGGTCGGCCAGATGTGCTTCAAGATTGGAGAGACTAAATGCACGTGAGTGCGAGTTCCTGCACCGAAACAATTGAATGCTTTCGGCCTGGTTAATGATCAAATCGTATGAGGAGCGGGGCGCCCCTCCGTTCCGGAGGTGATCGAATTCACGAATTCCTCTAATTCTTTGTAGATACGGGACAGGTGGATTTCTCCTGTGCAACACCGGAGCCGAGGTGAGATCAGTATGAATACGGCATCCTTTAATCTATGGCTGAGTTCCCACTTTATAGCCTCGACTTTTTCATGCCATTTTCTTTTCTTCTCTGATCGAGCGTTTCACATCGAGCTTTTGGATCTTTTCATTGAGTCGGGACAATCCGGAATTCGAAATATTATTTCTCCGTTTGGTCATATGCCATGAGGGATTCATTGACTCTTGCATCCTATTCTGCGCCGTCGTCTTTGGAGAGCGCTGCACTAATAAGGGACTAATAATGAACTTTCTCTCGATGAACACATCGATAACAAACCGTTTGCGCGTTTAGCGTCCAGACTGGGGTCGGGAGCGGAAATATTTCCGCTCTTGGGATCTACACTTCGGGAGCCAGGTAAAAAAGGCTGTGAGGGTATGCTCTGTGTTGCTTCGGTCCCAATAATGATCCATTGACCCGAAATCCCGATCGTGAGATCACTCGTGTAGGAAAAGCGGCCCAAACTATCGCCAGATTGGCTTCCCTCCGCTTCTTCATATCGTTTTCTGTCCTGTAGAGCTTCCTCGTGTGCTCGTGTCCGTCGAATCCGGCTTCGCTGGACTCAGTAATCTATAGATTTGAATGGCAACTATCCTCCTGAGACTAAATTGACTTTTTTTCAGAAGGTGAAATCCACCCACGGTCTCTTGACGACCATTGCATACAAACTAGGACCGGACGCCCCGCTGATCTACGCCCTTGAAGGGTCAGTGGCTGTCGCCGGCTCTGCTGTTCGCTGGCTTCGGGACAACCTAGGAATAATTTCAAGCACGGAAGAGGTTCAACGACTCGCAATGAGCGTCAAATCCACCCATGGTGTCTACTTTGTACCGGCCTTCAGTGGTCTGTACGCTCCTTATTGGGAGAGCTCAGCGAGGGGGGTCATATGCGGTCTGACCCAGTTCACGACCAAGGAGCACATCGTCAGAGCGACGCTCGAGAGCGTATGCTATCAGGTAACTTTCCTCTGGTCCCTTCATTCCCTATCATGTATCTGTCTATTCCTCTGCGAGTACTCCCGGAAATTCGGATCTTCGATGGATCGTAATAGCTATTCACTATCGATGTTCGTTGCAGGTGAGAGAGATCCTGGATTGCACGTACAAAGACATGGGACTCGAATTGACGCAACTGCTAGTGGACGGGGGTATGGCGAAGAACGATGCCTTGATGCAGCTCCAATCCAACATTCTTGGCGTTAACGTGGTGAGGCCTCAAATGTTGGAGACGACGGCCTTAGGTGCGGCCATTGCAGCTGGCTTAGCGAAGGGCGTAGAAGTCTGGTCGCTTCCACAAATTCTCAAGGGCGCTGCGGCCGTCAGCGATACATTCGAGCCGCAAATCGTCAAGTGAGTCGCCGCTTCCTTAGCCTTGTCGTTGAAAGCGAGCCAGGCGAAATCCATGCTCGTCAGAGTCGATTCGAAAACGGTCGCGATCGAGGAATCTTCCTCTGAGAAGAGTGTTCATTCCAGGCAAGAGCGCGAGAGAAAATTCTCCCGATGGAAACAGGCTATCGAACGGAGTCTCTTCTGGGAAGATTGCACCGTTACCGCACAACGGAAAAGACTTCTCGGTGATCATTGGTATCGGGTGTCCTCTCTGCCGTTTGGTCTCTTCGTCATGGGGGCCTTCGCAATGGTCATCTTGGCGCATTCCCGATCGCCCTAATCTCAACGTTGTTCAGTATGTAGTACTAAGTAGCCCACGGAAGACTGGAGTAAACTCGGAAGGAGCTAGAAATTTAGGGAGAATGGGGTCGCGAGATCTTCCGAGCGGGAACGCGCAAATCTTTTTTGGATTTTCGTACTGTTTGCCGCACGCGAACTCCGATGCTCTGTATATATGACGGGAGACGGGAACAGGACTCCAGGAGTGCTTGAAGGGTCACTTGTTGGTAGACTTGAGCGATCGTTGCGAAATTATTTTTTAGCTGGTGAGAGAAGTATGTGATTCAGAGGAACACGATACGTCTGGTTGTCGCCGGAATGGAAGTGGCGGTGCGGCGTTCTATTCGACCTGAGGCCTTCTTCAATGTTGCTCGACTTTTCGGGATTGTTGGGAACTACTCACATAGGATTCTAGTTCTGAATGGATCAGTGTCAGAGGAGTTCGAGTCGAACGGTTCACCGTTTTAGAAGCATAGGTATGGAAGTTTACGCTAAATTCTTCGGCGACAAAAATAAAATAAGCTTACTCGTCCCAGAAAGAGACTGGCGTTTGATCTTAGTTCTTCTGCTGAAGGGAAGTATTTCGCGAACTCGTTCGGTTTGGATCGATCAGAGACGGCGGACCTAGTGTCTGTATGAGCCTGTCTCTCGTACGGAAATCTCAAAGAATCTCGAGGCTCTGACGTCATCCCAAGGGCACGTCAGATGTGCCACACCTTATTGTGACTGCGCGTTCCATTTTTCCTCGGCACGCGATCGCTTGTAAACAAATCGTTGCGCAGGGCGTTTGCAACGGCAATTCTGTGTCCGCCGCGGTCCCGAATCTTTGTACTCCCCCCCGAAAATGCTCAATGAAGATGGCCATCCGAACCTCGCCGCAGAAACCGTGTCTCGCCTCAGGGACCTGTGCCGACGAAGAGGGCCTCCAAGCGGATCAGTGCTCGTCATCTCAGATAATGGGAAGGACGTGCGGCTCGACGCCCCCCTTCGGCTCGTATGTTCTAAACTGAACGGATCTGGTTCCCCGGAGTCCGCTCACATCCACGTAGGCTCTGCGGGCTCCACGGTCGCCAGACTGATGGGAATCGGTCGAGGGAAGCAATATCCGGAGGAGCACGGTGAGATCTTGGACTTGTTGGCCCTCGCGTACACTCTCGGTATTCCTGAGGTCGTCAGGAAGTGCTTCGAGCTGCTCATGGAGCCGGGCGACGAAGCACCACTTCTACACAAAGAGCTGCCTATGGGCTTACCTGTAGAAACAATCGAGCGCTTCTACGAGGCGCTCTGTGAGTTGCCTCTGCGGACCCCCGACTTCTATCTACCGCCATTCGAGAAATTGGCAAGGAGAGTGTCAGCGGAGGAAAAAATAAGAATGATCCATCACTTGATCGATTTTGTCGGAAAACGCCACATCCCTATCGAGATGGAGTCGGAATTCGACGCTCTTCCGGTGGATCTAGCGGTTCGGTCTGTCCCTGTGGCCATTTTCGAGTCGACTCGTGGACCTGAACTGAAGAGCTTCGTCTTCTATAATAACTTGTGGTACGAAGTCAATGTTTTCGGTTCAGGTTTCAACGCTCTCGACAATGTGAAGAATTTCTATGTCTGTCATGGTAGCTATGTCCTGTATCTCTCTGCGACGACCAAAGAAGTCAGACTGGTCGACCTGGCTGAAAAAGAGATCAACGTCGTTCTGGAGGAGGATGCATTGCAGCTTTATTCGAGAGAGGACAATGTGTTCTTGTTGACTGGGCTTAAGGATGAACGAGTCATCAGCATTTGGTACGACTTCGAATTTCACAGACTGTACCATGCGAGAATGGACGGCGATATTCATGACTTCGATTGCAGGAGCAGGGTGCTGTGCTTCCAGAGGAATCCCCATGTTCTCTCGCTGATGAAAATAGGAAAAAATCAAGGCAGCCTGCTCGCCAACATTCGAGTCGATGGATCTATACGAAGCGTTTACACTCTTGACGGGAAGTTCCATATTTGGCTCGAGCAAGAAGACCGGTATATATGCTCGACTTACAAACTAGCCGCCGACATGATTGAGGAGGACCACGTTCTGAGAGAAGTCTACGAGAAGAAGACACACGGGGCTTCGCTGGACCGAACGAACCGCGAGGTCTTCGGCGGCATACTCTTCGAGACGGGTCGCGGAGCGAAGACCATTCCTCTCCCGATGGGCGCGGATCGTCTCAGTCTACATACCGATGCGACCGCAAGATGCATGTCCGAGATGTATCTCTTGTCCGAGCCGGTCGCAGTCCCTTCTGACATTTGGACAAGGATAGGTAAAGTTCCCAAGGACATGAAGGATCTTCAATGAGGAGCTCCAATCAACGATGAGCTGTGGAAAGAATAAGAGTTAATCTTAAGATAATCTTCCGAGCAGAAGATTATCCACCCGTGCAATTCCATTGTGTATATATTTCTTTGAGGATATTTTGCAAACGCTTCTGGAAAACTTTCATGTACCTGATGCTTGGGATCCGTTCTCTGTGATGTTCTTCACGGGTCCAACAAGTTCCTTCCGGAAGGTCCGGCACTCGAATTATGAATTAAAAATGACAGAACTTTCAAAAGCTACTGAGACTCTGGACTAAGGAGGAGAAACCCTTGATGATGAATGGCCTCGACCGCAAAAAACTACCAGAGGCGGGCGATCAAACCCCGTTCGGAGGTCCATCCACTCGTTCCTCCACTCAGACGCTCCCTTTTTCCCTGATCCCCCCAAACCTTGCTAGCGGCTTTTTCTTGGAGCTAAATCATTGCCTCTGGGGAAGATATCCCTCCTTCCAAAGGCAAAGGCCTGTATCGACGATCTCGGGTATTGAACGGCGAAATGAGCTGGAGAATATCCCTGCCTCGCCAGGGGTCTTCCTGGGAAAGAGCTCTTAGCAACTCTTTCGCGATGATTCTGCCCCACGATGCTTTTTTGGATGGCGATACGGGATTTTGACTGGGTCAGAACGGCACAATACGGAACTTAGCGGGAGCCTGGCCGTCTGAACTAGGGACTGGATCGATCCTGTATGGCGAGGAACTCCAGGAATCTGCGGCGAATCTCTGGAAAATCCCCCCGGTCGGATCTGGAGAGCAACGCTTGATGAAGGATTGTCGTTGCTAGACTGCGTCAGACACCCCAGGATTTGGTATCCTTGGAGAAACGGTGTATCATAAGGCAGAGAAGATCGCCCGAACTCTGAGATCAGGGACAGCGCCACCGGTCGCGTATGTGATCCGGGCCTCCACGCACGTTTGTTCATGTTCCCGAGATCGCCCAGGTAGACTTTCCAGGGGTATAGACCCAGTAAGCCGAAACCTTCACGCCGAAACCCAGAAAGCCGAAACCTGGAACGCAGAAACCCAGAACGCCGAAATTCGTCCACCCGAAACCCAGTACGCCGAAAGTTGAGGTAGCCGAAACCCAGTACGCCGAAAATTCCTTCTGGCGGAAATACCGATCACACGTTCCGAAGGAATACAAAAAGCTTTTTCTTCGAGATTCAGTTCTCTTTCCAAACTCATCTCCGTGATCGCGAGAGGTTCCGGAGGATACGACTACCTTCTTTTCACAATGTCCTCTTCGACTAGGCATTCCTTTAATCTTATCTTCACAACTGCGGAAGGTTCCGACAAATGAAAAACCTTCCTCGTACAATTACCTCCTCAAAACTCCTCCTCGAAAAGGTCTCCCTACAATTGCGGGAAGCTCTGTGCAACTTCATGTATGTAGTCGATAAGAGATATCTCCTCCGACTCGAATTCCGCCGTCAGTCTTATAAGCCTATCGTTCAGCACTCGATATTGCTTGGTGAGTGGAGGGGGCGTCGTCCCATTCGTAATCGCATCATGTCCAGCCTGAACTTCTCCTCCTGTCCTTGGAGATGTTTGATCATCTCATAAAGATTGACATGGCTCTTCTTGATTATTCTATTTAGAGCTTGATGCCATACTTCGAGACGGTTTGTTGTGCGCGCTCCAGAATTGTGGTAGTGGTTCCACATTCGGCGCGGGAAGACGGTCTCATTTTCCATCCACGTGTTTATGAAATAGAGTTTGAAATCTTCGAGCTGGGTTTGCCGATTCTTTCGAAGAGGAAGAACACTCAGCGGAATCAGGGTCGATTCGATCGACGACTTCCGGTGTCCTGGATATCGACGCTTTTAATTTTCGGCGTACTGGGTTTCGGCGTACTGGGTTTCGGCTCTTTTGATTTTCGGCGTACTGGGTTTCGGCTTTCTTGACTTTCGGCGTGATGGGTTTCGGCTTTCTGAGTTTCGGCGTGAAGGTTTCGGCTTACTGGGACCTAACCTTTCCAGGACCCTTCGCTAAGACCATGCGGGAGTTTTCTAGACGGTGCGACTCCAAATCACTAACTAACGAAATCGTACAATGGGGAAATTGAGCGATGAGTGATGACAGAAGCTCATCGAGATTATCGCTTGGCTTGTGTCACCGCAACCTGCGGTGCGGGAGGCAATGGTGAGCTCAAAATGCAGAAGACTCCCAGGACCGGGAATACGGAAATGATAAACCGTTCTGAGGGGGGGGGACGTATCTGTATTACCCCGAAAAAGGGAGGCACATTTCCCAGGGTCAGAAGCGCGAAGACTGGCCCAGGATCGAACCCTCGAGTCTCACAATTAGACCGGTCACCTCATCCAAGAACTATGATGTCGACGGGATGGCACGTCGGCACGATTGATGTGTCGCTTCGCTTGTGACGACGCGTCTTCCCGCAATACGCGTCCACGACGAGCTGAAAGTTCCGCCACAGCTCTTCATTCGATCATCTGTCGAATGAGCCCAGGGACCAGTGCGGGCACTATTTTAAACTAGAACTTCTACTCAGCTCCGCGATGGGAGAACGGTTTGACCTGTCAATGATAGACGGTGAGACAGCAAATCAGGAGAGTTTCCCCTGTCGCGCCGTTTTCGGTCTCCAGCAAATCCTCAGAGACCGGTTCCTCGGCGAGACATATAGAACAGCTCCATGCGTTTCGTCAACGGGCGCAAAGGTAAGGTTCGACTATCGTCTCTGGAATGAGTGCGCAAGCACGAAAAGTAGAAGGAATTTCGGACGTGCCTTCGTAGTTTCAAGTCGTGAGGATACGCTTCTGGATTTGCTGACAGCTGATCGGACCGGACGATATCCGACCAGGCATGACAAGATCTTGGATTTGTTAGCCGCCGCGTACGAGCTCGGAAATTGGAAAATCAAGAGAAACTGTTTGGATCTTCTCACAGAAATCCGGGAAGGGGGATCGCTCATAGACCAGCCATTACCAAGCAGTTGTTCGACGTTCACGTGTGAATGCTTCCTCAAAATAATTTGTGACCTGCCCCTGAGACTCCCCGAATCGTATCTGAAGTTCTTCGACGATCTCGCCCTCCGCACCGGAAATGATATGGGCTCACAAGCGAGAGTATTGACGCATCTGGAACAGCGGAAGCGGTCACTCATCCAAATGGGGATCGAAGCTCTCCCA